GCCTTATGCTGTAGGAACCCTGCAAAGGGGGATGCCTCACTGTGTGCTTTAGTTTTCATTTGAGGTACAAGAAAAACAGATTACAGGGCTCTGCTTGACTTATAGATCCAAAGGTAAATACGTTTGATTAACACCATTAATGTATTAAAATAATAAAAGCACTTTCGATGTCAGTTGTAAAAGATAAATGTTTTTACTACACAGACTTTACTGTCAGTTTAATCCTCATCTTTAAGCATCTGTAGTGGAGCTTTGCTTTGCTTAAGAAAACCAGAAAGCACATCATCTCAGTTATTAGTCTGGATTATTATAGACCACTTCTGCATCACATTGAGGAAAATTTGGTTCATAGTACATTTTCTAAGATGTTATTAGGGTATCAGAAATGTAGCTTTTAATGAAATAAAATGCTTCATTATCCTTTTCCTAGATTAAGTTAAACCTCCTTAAACTGGTTTCAAAAAACAGAAAAACGAAACACCCACACTGAGGAAAGCAACACTTTAGCCAGTTTGGAGTTATAAACCCTGTCTTTGCAGAAGCCGCACAGCTCTTTAGATGTGGTGATCAAATTCATGGAGGCCATCTTTGGAGGCAGATGGGCTTGGCAGGAAGTGGGAAGTGTTATGGGGTGAGAATTAATGTGCATATAAGGCTGTGTTTGCCAGACAGGGCACAGGCTCAACACCTCCTGGGTTGTGTTTGAGCAAAGCTTTGAGGGGTTAGAATCCAAAGCCTTTACAATGCATGACACAGCTGATAAAGCAATCTGGGAGAAGTTTCCCAAAGCCGCCGCTCCTTTCCTCCTCCAAGACGGCTGGCACTAAAGATTTGCCTTTTTGTCTGACATAGTCCAGCTTCATGTCAGAGCGACAACATTTATGCTCAGAGCTTTTATTGAAACACATTGTGTTCTTTCATATCCGCATCCAATGTTTGAGCTGCTGCATTAATTAGCGGATCCTTCTAGTCCTTATTGTTATTTATATATGACGAAAAGCTGTCTGTGACTCGGTGCTCATCAGAAGAAAAAAAAATAATTCTGCATAAAATCAAGCAAAACCAGGAAAATGGCTGCATGAAGAAGTCATTATGATCATTATCATTACCGCCCACTCACTACTGAAATGAGCTTCTGCCTCTAATCTTCCATTATTTATTTGAAAAGCTTAAGTTGTATTGAATGTTCCATTCAAACAACTCAGTGATTTCTTCTTTCTTAAAAAAACAAAGGAAAATCTTTCATAATAAAGATTAAACAAAAGAGTAAAGTTGCTTTTTTTTAATACTTAAATCACATTCAGACTTTAAATGATTTTGATGTTTTTTTTTCTTCAAAAGCAGTGCATTTCTTATAATCCATTATATATACCAGTATTTTATTGAAGCGCTCAGAAAACTTGCAGAAGTTCAGTAACTTAGATTTGTTTGTTTCTCTGTTTGAGACGATTAGCATTGTGGTTATATTTTACTAATTTATTGAACATACTACCTAGCCTAGCCTTCTCTTGTCTCATTTGTTGTGAATTTGAAGAGCAATTTTACACAGGATGTTAAAAAAAAAAAACAAGTCTCATTAAAGGATGTAAGACAGTCAGATGTTAGAATTGAACCATTACTCTAGAAGCAGCTTTCATCAGTAATCCAATGCTAGAAATCTGAGTTTTCTTTATTTTTTATTTCTTCTGTTCATTAACTCTAAACTAAGAACTGTCATTCTTTTTCCGGCTATTCTATCTTCAACCAAAAACTGTACTTTGACCTTTTTTTTCGGTGATGAATGTGTGCTTTGATGCATAAAAAGAGATAATCTATCATTTCTTTTTTGCTGTAAGAGTGAAAGCTACTAACTCTTAAAAGTTTTCTGGATTAGTTTTCAGCAGGGGGAAAAGTGCCTGTTTTAGCTGCAGAGTTACCAGAATCCTCTTTGATACGCTGCTTTCTTCACACAGTAAGCTCCCAGTTAGACACAGCCTTATCGGTTGGGCGTTTCATGAGAGATCCAGTGATGATGTGGCTAAGAAGGAGGAAGAGGACTGGGCTTGTCAACTATGCACGCTCATCAACCAGCCAGAAGCTAAAGCCTGTGATGCCTGCTTCACTCCAAAACCTGAGGGTGAGAGAACAGTTTTCTTTTATTGTCACTAAATTTAATGGGGTGACAGAACAGCTTTGTTAAGAAAGGAAAAAGAAAAAAATAGCTGTGTAGCAGAATAATAAGGTGCAATTTGACATTAATGCTTCAGTGCTTTAGGAGGCATGGCAAACATCAAATTGATACTGGAGTCAGCTGGGCCGAATCCTCTGTGCCCTACGTTGCTCCACAAATAATGACTGCATCTGTCAGCTGGTCATTTTTCTCTGACCGTCTTCAGATGGCTCACGGCAGCAGCCAAACTGCAGCTGATCGGCTTCAGCTCTTAGGAATCACACAGCTAGATTTGGAATACATCAAGCCTTTTTTAAAGCTCGCAGCACGCTGAAGGGCTGAAGAGCATCGGTTCACAGCTGCATTATATGGCACTGTAGTTTCAGCCCTCTTTTATTTTTATGGCTTTGAATAAGAGTGTTTTTTTTATTAAATCAGTGCCACAATAAAACCTCTTTGGTTCCATATCATAAAATGATTTCTAACTTCTAAACAGGGGGGTGAAGAAAAGGAACCGCACTTTAATCATCAGAATTTTTACATTATTGCTCTGAGCTGTTTGGAAACAATAAACATGAGCAGCCAGTACTCATGTAAACCCACTGCATTTTTCTGAAGATATGAGAGAATAAGAAATGAGACGGGTTGCTGCAAACATCAACTTAACTGACCACTGGGAAAACAATGCTTACATGGAGCTTGGAACTAGTTACTGTTTTTAAACTGATCAAAAAGATAAAAAGTCATCTCACTGCTGTAGCAGTTGCTGCTCCTCCATAACTGCTGCAGTGCACTGCTGGTCAGTTCTCTAAAAGAGTGTTACTATATAGATTACAAGCTAACTAATTGGGCTCTTTAGAAATCCATCTAATAGTGAATGCTACATACAACCATGAGGTGGAAAGCAAAAAAAAAAAAAAAAAACTCCACCTTTTATGGTAACAGTTGGGAAGCAACAAGCAGCAGGTCTGCTAATTAACTGCCTGCAGGCTGGAGTCAGCAGATAGCCTGACCAGCTAATTTTAGCCGTTTCTTCTGCCACTGTTGCTGAGCAGTGCTCAATCCTGGGAAATAATCACTTTAAAATCACTGCATTGAAGTTCCCCACTTTGGCACAATAAAGGGTATTTCCATTCGTTTCAAGTGTTTATCGGTAGTTTGTTCCTGTTCTGGAAGGCTGGGCAGGTTGCTTCGTCTAGCTGCAGGATTGCTCATTTTAGCCGTATTCTCAGATCTGAAGGGTGGTTTCATTTCCTTACACAGCATTTACTTCCATTCACATTTTAAACTGATTGATTTTCATTTCCACCCCTGCTATTTTCTGGAGTGGTTAGTCTTTTGAACGAGAGGCGCCTTTTACTGATTTGGGTGTGTGGCCTTGAAAGTGCATCTGCTCCTAACTTGTCTGGGGTCTCATAAACAAAAAAATATGAGGAATCCATATAAATCTATGCATGCCATATATACTACAATCGAATATGCCATAAAAACTGTTTTATTAAACCATGTGTATGCAGAAAACGAGCAATTTACCTTTATAGATCAAAGCTGTGCCTAAAAGTTTGCGTCCAAGGCTCCATGTTATGCTCAGCCCACTTTAGACGCATATTGAACCATAAATGCAGTGAATGTCATTGTATATTTAAATGAGCCAGCTGATCAATGTTATTTGTTAAAAACTACAACCAGAGTTTATAAACTCAGTTTAACTGAGGTGTCGGTGTGTGAGGGGAAAAGTCAGAAAGTTAGGTCTGGATGCCACTGTAAAAAAAAGGAAATATGTGTGTGGACTAATCACATTAGGGCTCCAACAATCAATTGGATTTATCATGATTAATCGTTTATTGAAATAATTGTCAAATATTTTAGTAATATAGAGACTGTAAAACATGCCTTTTGCTGACAAAGTGACCCACTTAGAGCAATAATTATACATACCAAAATAAAAAAATATATATATGTATAAATATTTTGCATGATAGATAAAAACCTTTTTTGTCTTTCAATATGCTTTATCCAGAACTCCTCAAGTGGAAAGGTTTTAGTTTTACCTGGTTTAATTTCGTAAAAAAATCTCCTTTAGGGAACATTTGACCATCCGATTATCAATTGATTAATCAAAAAACTAATCAACACAATCAATTAGTAAAATAATTGTTATTTGCAGCCTTAGATCAGATTAACAAGAGCTGTAACATCCCAGCTTTACAGATAAATTCACCAAATTATTTTATTCCTAGAAGAAGGTAAGGAGCCACAGAGAGGTTTAGAGCTGAATTGGTAATAAAAAATGAAACAACAAAAAAAGATATTCTGGCAAAACAGGGCACTTATCTTTTTGTTTTAAGATCGGCAAGTATTGTCATGTTTAGGCTACAGCTTATTTTTATTGGCTGTTTCCTGATTTTTTTATTTTTTTCTCCATTAGTGTGGGTCTTTAATAAACTTAACCCTCGTCCATTTTTCGCCAATATGAAACATGTTAATTATCTATATTTATTAATCATCAATAGTTTTGAATTCTCTATGTAGCAAAGACTGTTTATGTGTTTCATTGGGATTCTACTCCCAGCAGCCGCTCCTGTTTCACACCTATGATGAACAGTGATGGTCTAGCAGGTTTAGATAGCAGAACTGCGGAGTTTGATCAGCTGATCACCCCTCCTCATCCTGGGTCAGGAAACATTGATAATCCCTGGAAATGCATTCCCTCCTAATTCTCCTATCTGTAAAATCTCCTGCATGGTCAAGTCATCCATAACGCACCATTACACATTTACACATTTGCTACATTTCCTCATTGATCGGTGGTACAAATTGGCCCCTTGTTCACCAGAGAGAGGAATGTGATGGTGAGGAACCATTTAAATATCTGCAGAATTTGATATTGAATTTAAGCTTTTTAATTATTTGTGAGAGGACGTGTCAGTACCAGCATATATCACAATGCGGTTTTGGTCTATGATTAAAGTTTCATATAAGATAAAATAAAATGTTTGCAATAATTATGATTCAATCTTGCTTCAGTTTGCTTCAGTGACCAATTTCCCTCTCTGTCCAAAATATGCGAACACGTACGTAAGGACCAGAGTTTGCTAAGGTTCAAGCACATTTTCACACCAAGTTTGTTTTTAGAAATCACAGCCTTAGCATGATTTATGTTTATATGTTCGAGTCAGAGTACACAATTTTTAGGCCTTGTTTTGTGCAAAAACAAAAATTTAGAATTTTGACCCCTGGTCCTAATATTAATTTTGCTGATGAAGATTCTCAGTCATCCAGGTCATAGTCATTCCGTAAACTGTTGAACTTTTACGGAATAATATTAATTTTGTTTTTCATTAAATCCAAAAACAGCTGAAAAATCATTGCATGACCCTGGTTTTAAAGAAATGTAGTGCAATGTTTCTGAGAGATGTTAGAAGTAAAATATTTCAAATAATGCAAGAAAAAGTTACTGAGAAAGCAGAGGTTGAGGCAGTATGTCCAAAAATATTGACATTCTGGCTCTGGTTTATTTAACCACCTAAACCTTCCAGAGAGCACCCTAACTTTTATATATTTTTCAACCTTTAAGGGAGAAAAGTTTTTTTTGTAAGGAAAATGTTCATGAACAGTTTTAGCGAATATAATGAGCTATTCTGATTACTGATGCTTACTTTAAGATGGTGTCTCAGTGCTTCCATCTACATATTTATACATGGAACCACAGAACATGCTGAATAGAATGATGGCCTCCATTAAAGGGCCTTCACAATTTATACTTGACCCGATGCTCCTTGTTGACAGATTAGAAATAGCAGTATAGGTTTTTTTTCAAAGTAGATTTTTTTTTACTTATTTTATTTTCTTTTCCCCATGTCTATAAACTGTTTTTTTTATTCTCCTAAGCTTGGGGGAATTCAAATTTGCAGGAAAATGTATTGTAATTTTATCTTTTAAATCTTTAGAAAGTTGATCCACATGTCCTATTCTCAACAACAAAATGTTTCCTTTTTTTCTTATTCCTCATTTTTTTTATGGTCTTCAAAGTCTGCATTTTAAAATGCCGAATATGTCTTTTCTCACTTCATTCACGCTTCTTTGTTTTTCCTATTCCATATGAAAAAATTGGATTCCTTGATTGGTTTATAATATAACAGTCAATACACAATTTTACACAATACACAATTTAAACTGGAAGAAATATTAATTCTGATCTATTACATGGTTTTCTAGAAAGTTTACAGAAATTAGATATTTTTTAAATCTTATTAATGGAAACTCATGGCTACCTTAGCCTTCAGAATCTAATAAAACAAGACATTTTGATTTAATTTCCACACCAGCTATTCCAACCATTGTTTTTGAATTGAAATAATTGGAACAGAAATACTGAAGGAACACAGATTTATCCGTTTAGATAAAGTCAAAAACACAACAATACGAAACCTCATGAAAAAGAAAAAATGAAGCTTACAGGCAAACACATCTGTTATCTCCATTAATACAGCCAAATCTAGCTTTAAAATGAAACTTTGTGTGGGCTAGAGGTGATAAATGTTCTGATTTTGTTCTTAATGATCCTTTTTTCAAATATTTGAGTTAATTTATGCATCTGCATCTCAGAAGGATATTGTATTTAAAGTGACTGCAGAGCAGGACTTCCTGCTGCTTCTTGTTAAATTTCTGGTAACTATTTTAAGCTAACAACAACCTGGATGTTGTGAGAGCAGCCAGTGCATCTGAATTAGCTGCAGCTGCTGAACATAAATTGAGTTTCTCACCCTGGCTCCATCTCCACAGTTCACAAAGACGACATTAGCACTGAAGCATCGCCCTTCACTGCCGATTTAATTAAATACCCCTGCAACGCCTTCAGGAAGCCGCGAGAGGAGCTCAAAGTCAACTGGAGGTCTGCATTCGGGACTTCCACCCTTGTTTTCTCTGACATGAGTGAGAAGCCAAAGCCTGTAAACTCCCCACTCTCCCCAGCCGGCGGTCATTTGAATTCCTTGGCGGCAGAACGGGGTTTGTATAAAAACAGCTTATGCCAAGGGACAACAAGCCCCAATTATGCCTCTGGTGGCTGGCAAAGGAAAAGTGCAGAGCTCTCCAAGGGGGAATCACTGGAATCTTACAGTCACCCTTCCAAGAAAATGAGAATTGATCACAGCCCCTCTCCCAGTAACAAAGCTCCAAATGGAACCCCCAACTCAGGGTGAGTATCTCTTCCTCGACCGTCCATGAACAAGTTTATAATAAGATAAGTTTTATGTATAAGTTCAAGGAGATGAGCTGGGGAACAATTCATGGAACATTGTTAAAAAAAAATCCTCAGAAACATATAACCATGGTACAGCAGTGGCCATATACAATAATTGCCAACGAGCATCATTATACTTGGCTGAAAAGATGGCCCTAGCTCGCTAATAAGTGTTGATGTGACAGTTATTTCCTGTGTTTTATCTACAGCATTCTTCAAAATAATAAGACTGTTCCTTCTCCTCTGTCAGTGCTCGCAGATCAGGCACGGCAAGCACTGCAGCCCCTGTTCCTCCTAGTCCCCCTTGTTGCACATCCCACTGTCGTCCCACCGTCCTCAGAGTGGTCCACAAGGAGGGGGACAATAAAGGACGACAGTTTTATTCCTGCTCCCTGCCGAGAGAAAACAAGTGCAACTTCTTTCAGGTGGAAAAAGAAACTTTCTTGGATTTTCTTTATGTCTAAGTTTCAGCTTGACTACAGCTCAGCTTTAAAACTAAAGAAAACATTTCTTTCCCCCTTGTTGCAGTGGGCTGATTTGCACTTTCCTCTCTGTCACCACGGGAAACGCTGTTTAATGAGGACGGTTCTGAAACTGGGTCCTAACAATGGTCGCAATTTCTACACCTGCAGCTTTCAAAAGGGTAAACAATGTGACTTTTTCCAGTGGGCGGAGTACGGACCTGGAGTTTCCATGCTACCCGGCTGCTAACACATCAAGGCTGTACATAGGGGCACCTCTAAACATCAAGACATCATCAGGACATCTGTTTATTGCTTTCATTCAAATCAAAAAGTCAAACTGAGGCATTAGAGACATATAGTGTGCTATACCTCCAGTCATTTCTGGTATGGCTGGGCAGTTGGATTTTTTTTTTTTTTACAGTAAAGCTTAAAACATTCAGATTTTTTAAATAACAGAATGTTGCTCCTTAGAGATTAAAGAAAATACTCACAAAAACTGGTATAGAGAAATGTAATGACCATGTTCTGCAACCCTGGATGCTGTAAAACCGCCTTGTGGACAGTTGCATTAGAACAGTCTCTCCACTCTCCCTCCAAACTCTGCAAGCTTGGCATCAAATAATTTGCTAAATTGACTTTATTTTAAAAAGAAGACTTTTGAGTACCAGTCTAGGCTTTTAGGGGTCACTGATGTCTCTGATACAGAAGCGGCCTATAACAGTTGTAGCTCATGTACAGGATAGGTCTCAAGTAACACAACAGGCTTTATGCATCTCTTCCGAACTCCTAAAAACTTCCCTGTCCTGCGACCATCCCTGTTGATTTTACACCATTCCACTACCACACTTTTTCCTTCCACCAAACTTTCCAATCATATGCTTGAATGCAGCACTGTGTTAATTAATAGCCAACACCTTCAGCAACATCATTTTCTTGATGTCTGTGTCCATTTGCTGCACAGCTGTCATTTTCAATTCAATAGATATAATTAAAATTAACTGAGGGAAACATGTAATGTATAACTGTCTAATGTTTAACTTTTGATATGAACACTTTTAATGATTCTAAAAAGATGCACTTGTTTGACTTAAAAATAAAAACCCAAATCTTGCATATTTTTAAAAAGGAAATAACAAATATTTGTTTACTATTAAACTGCATATTTAATCAGGTATGTTGTAATAATCCCACATTGACCACATTGTGTTGAATAAAAAAAAAATATGTTTCATTTATTCAGTACATCATTTTTTAATTTTGATTTACATAAAATAATCAGAATAAAAACCCATCCTGGAGATGAGTAAACCATAAAAAACCTAAACGACTGAACAAGACGCTTAAAAGCAGGTGACAGATTTCAGGACTGGTGAGTCTGACTCGGAGTTTTGCACCATGAAGTGGAACTCTGTGAGGCTGGGGGCCTTGTTACATGCTGCACCTGAGAAGACGACACAAAAAAAAAAAACTATTAGATGAAAGCGATATTTAAACACCTTCCTCATTATGACTTGAGAACAAGGTGATTGCTTCTCTGCATGCTTCTGTTTAATGCATGCTGAGACCTTTCTGTCCCTGTTTTTCAGATATTTATTTGCCCTGCTGCTTCGCTCACATTATTGTGCATCTACTACAGATATAAAAAAGTGTTATTTGAAGCTGGCAAAGGGTTAAGACCTGCATTAAAATAGGGAGGCCAAGGGGTATGTGGGTTTCAAAGTTTGCAGCTGTTGCCATGAGAACAAAATCTTGAGTTGGGCAGGTTTGAAGGAGCAATGGATGACGAACCTAAAAGCAGGAGATGCTTTGATGTTCGGCTGAGGATCTGGTAACCTTTGGAGAAAACATAAATCGATGGAACTAATGCAGGACCTGTGCTGTTTTTTTTTTTTTTTTTAGGTATTTTTCACAGATTTTCTGAATCATGAAATTCCCTTCTTTGGTATGTCCTTTTAAACCTGAGCAGATAATGAATATCAACAATCTTTATCCTTTGGAAATGGGATGATCTATTATGAAAAAAAAAAATACACTTTGGTTTTAAAATATGTAGATTTTAAAGTGGTGAAGGAAAAATGTTTTAACAGAATCTTTAGATCTGTCCTTGTCTTTAAGTCTACATCCATGTTCTCCTCAGAAATAATTAATATAAGGATTTTTTTATGTAATCTAGGTGTTAAAATACAAAAAATATATACAAGTCATTTAATTTATGTTCAAAACTGATTTCTTGGAATTTAGATATGGTTTTGAATTATTTATAAGTAAAAGCAAATGGATCAGTTCATTATTTTGTCAGATTACAATTAAATCTTTTGTATACAATGGTGGGTTTTTACCACAAAGAAATATTTCTTTGAGGTAAAAACTCGCCATTTTTATATTTATATTTCTTAAATTAAAAACCTGAAATAAGAAAAAAGGTCTCTGTGACAAGCTGCTACTCCTTTAAACATATTAACATAAGGTTGAAAAAGTCAATATCCATCCCTGAAAACTAGGCCAAAGTGTCTGATAGAAAAAAATATAACATATATTAACATCATAACACTATTAGGTGAAAATCTTTCCATTATGTTTCGTTTCTTTCCTGCTTCATCCCAGCGGGTATGCGTCATTACCTTTGGAAAGAAGTCCATTTGTGAACTCATACACTCACCATAATGGCCTGTTGTGTTAGCACAGATTATAGCTCCAAAGAAGTCTGAGTAATGCCTCTTGATTCTGGAAATGGCCGACTTGCAGGCTACTGAGGGATCAGCCCCGTTCCTCATCAGCTCTACGGCCAAGTAGCTGTTGGCAGCAAGACATGAAGAAGACATGAGTAAAAACTAACAAGGCTGTAAAGGGCCACTGACCAGGATCATGAGAGGATGCATTTAGAATCATAATGGCCTGGATGCGATTAAAGAAAATGTATGGAGGGGAAACATCAAGAAAAATTTAATTTACAGGGATCTGCCACTGCTTTCAATTCTGTCTGCTAGGCAGTTTAATACCCATGTCATTAACTGTAAGCCTAGGGGTAGTGTAATTTCAACCTGAAAAACTCAAACAAAGAAAGAATGCAATTAAAAGAGATTTATTGATACAATATTTAAATCTTTGGCACTCAGACCTTGGCGGGAAACATCAGCACTGAAATTTGCTTTGATTACATGCATAGCCAGCCAAGCCTGAAACTGGTGTTGGAAAGGGGAATGAAGATGGAGGCCCGCTGGAATAAGGCACAGGTTCATATGAACCTCCATAATGAGCAAGCATGATGCGATGGTGGAGAGAAAAATGGGGTGTCTGGGTCAGATGCCGCTTGTGCCAAAGGGGATGGAGGAGGGTCATCCAAGTCGAAGTCAGACATTGCAAGCCAAATGAGCGATTAGTTGAGTAGCAGCTGTGTTCTGATTCTACATGTCTTTTAAACTGGACTCTGAATGCTGACTGGACTTTGTGGAGTTGTGGTCCAATGCTGATAGGCTGGCTTCAAAGATGGGTGAGCGTCTGATGGGATGGGTAAGTGACTCATTTTATTCAGCTGAATTTTCACCTGGCCTTCATAAAACAGTTACGGTTCATTGTGTTGCCCTCTTGCAGATTTCTTTGGTTTTATTACACTTTAGAGTTTCATTTCAATAAAAATTCATCACACTAAGATGATAGCAAAAGCTGTTATTGTTAATCAAGAAAAACACAAATAAACCTGACCCTGCATGAAAACATAATTTTCCTCTAGGTAAATTACCTATGAATAACGACATACAGTGGGGCCAAAAACTATTTAGTCATCCACTGATTGTGCAAGTTCCCCTACTTAGAATAATAAGGTCTGTGATATGTATCATAGATACAATTCAACTATTAGAGACAAAATGAAAAAAAAATCCAGGAAATCACATTTTAGGATTTTTAAAGAATTTATTTGCAAATTATAGTAGAAAATAAGTATTTGGTCAATAACTAAAGTTCAGCTCAATACTTTGTAACATACCCTTTGTTGGCACCCAGGTTTGCACACACTGTAGCTGGTATTTTGGCCCATTCCCCCATGCAGATCTCCTCTAGAGCAGTGATGTTTCAGGGCTGTCGCTGGGCAACGC